GTAAGTGGCACATATATAGATTTGGGCAAATGATGAAAAGTGGGAAAATAAAGACAACTTTCAACTGATGCCAACTCAGAAAGTTGATAGCTGAAATATTAGATGCTTAGAAATTGGTACTTACAACATGACATTGATAATACAATACTTACTGTTACCCATATTGTCGCCTGTTTGCTCCCTCTTCAGGTTACAGGATATTCTCTGGGTGGATCGCTTGCTTCTATGACAGCTCTCTATCTCGCTAGGAAGCAGATGGTAGACACTAAACTGGTTGGTAACGTTTGGTATTCATCTCTCACAAAGGTACTTATCACTATCTTTAGCTCAGACTCGTCACATTCGGTGAGCCTCGAACTGGAAACGTTGGATTCGCTGAGGCAATGGAAAAATATGTAAAATTCCGGTATCGTGTGGTAAAAGGCGATGATTTTGTAAGTGCAATCCACGTATAACCAAGGATGAGCCATTGGAAGTCTTTAATTTGATCAGATGTCCAGTATCCCTCGCTCGGTTGACCCAACAACTACCCTCACGGGTACGCTCTACCGTAGGCAACCTATGTTCTACAGATATCTCGTTCATTACGACAACAAAATGGAGAAAGGAGATACTTTCCGAGTATGTGCGCTATCTAGTCCACTTATTCATACCTACACTGTATTCGAGTTTTCTAATTCTAGATATGCGGTTTATCCGACGATTTTGGATGTCGAAATACGCATAGATCCTTCAGTATTTCGGACCATCTATCGTACTTCCACATCGATCGAGATAAATTTCTACGAGAGGGTTGTCCAAGGGAAGAACTGATCTGATTTCCCATGGATTTTTCTTACATATTTGTATTGAAAGATCGTATGCATATTAATAATACTAATAATTACCATATATTAACTAGACCGCATAATAAATTCTTGTATGTACCATGTCAGCTAAAAAAACCCGCACACTCCCAGAAATAAGATTACACAATGGCACTTCAAATTTAACAGTCCAATTCACGAATATAGTGCGATACTAGGGGTTGGAAGTAATTTTATCAGTCAGTAAATTCTACATCTCCAGATTACTCATCTATAAGCGAAAGAGCCTATGTACGCCTTCCAAATACAAAAAATTAGGAATAATGAGACCTGAACAATAAACTGCAAGAAATAGTCTGTCCGTTGGTTCAAGTGCATTTCCTTGGGAACCTGTTTTTCGATAGTCTTTACTGTTGATGACCCCATTAAACCCACTTGAGGTTTTGTTATAAAGAAGGTTCAAATACTCTTCAAAACCATACTGACCAATCATTGTTCAGCCTTCTAAAGCTTTTTTTCCAGTAGCGATGAGCAAATTTCCGGTTTCCCAACTAGAGCCTAGTAGCTATATACCAGCCTCGTACTTGGAATGTGCAATAGATAACATAATTTTAGCTTCATCCCACT